CCCCCCCCCCCTCTCACCTAGCCTCCTCTCTCGCCTGCCCGTCATCCAGAGACCTGGGCGCGGCTAGGACCGGGACGAGCTGCACCTTGGACACCTGGCGGAACTCCACGCCGAGGTCGCTGTTTGCATACCTGGGGCCGCACGACGCGGCGGTTACCGGTGTGTTGGAACTCAACGTCAAGTCATCAGTTAATTTACCGCGGTGGACAAGAGCAGTACCTCGGTAATCGACTTCTAGGGAGTTTTACGGGATGGAGCCTCACTCCAACACGAAGATCACACGTCCCAAGAAAAATTGGAGGTGTGAGCGGTGAGTGTACCCACAAGGAACGAGCAAGAGCTGAATCCGAACGTAAGCATCCAAATAGGCAAAGGATAACACCTACCACTTGGGTACAACTCTAGGAAACCTCGGCGAACGAGTAAATACCGCCTTTGAGGTTGGGCATTTCGCCACGCCGCCGACGACCTTACCGCCGCCGCCACCGTCCCCCGCACCTGAGGCTTGACCTGCTGATGACCGCGACGAACGGTCCGCTGAGAAGGTCGTACACGCCGAAGAGACCATCCACCGGTATCCTCGTCGCCGTCGTTCCCGTCGAAGAACGAGAATCCCCGCCTGCTGCCGCTGCCGCCGGTGCTTCTTCGATCCCGGCGTCCTTCCGCGCCACTACCCTTACGCGCGCGCCCCCAAGGGACTCGGGCCCGCGAGCAATCGACAGGCACTTGACAGTCGTTTCGTTTCGATTGAAGTTTCGCACGGGAGGATAGGCAAGTTTTAGGGTCGCGCGGCACAAAAAAATGGGCGTGAATGACTGGATTTATTGAAAACGGCAATGATTGGGGCGACAAACACGCGGGGCTCACGTGCCGCCGGAGACGGCAAAGATTCTAAGCGCTGCCACGAGCGTTCACGACAAGCATGATCGCGTGCAAGGACGAATAAGTGAAAAATATTTCTGTTTGGTTGAAATAGAAAGAGTACTCATGTAGTCTGCTCGTGCAGCCTCGTGTGTGAATATTCGAAGTACTAAGTACTTACGTACATGTTTTTGGTGGTGTTCATAGACCGTGCTATAGGCGGGGGCAACGGACATACATCAGTCTGGCAGAGGAAAATCGTTGCCAAGTTTTTTTCATCCGCGGAGTCCCCGGCGTTCATCCGCTTCCTTACTAAAAACTAGCGTCAGTCATCCGCTTCCTTTACTAAACTAGGGTGAGCCGCGCTTAGAGGTTGGTCGATGAAAATACGCAGCAGCGGAGGGAATGTGAAGTTAGTGTATGTACCAAATGCGCAAACCAGCTCACCAATATATACGTCAGTCTCAGCGAGAAAACAATCGAAATTCCTCGCAAAGGAGACAGGATCCGAAAGAGTAGGCGATGCCGAGAGCGCGCAAACAAACACTTCGCGAGAGACTCACACCACCGAAGCAGTTTCAGGCCAGTCTTTGCCCAGTGATCAACACAAAAGCCTCGCATGACAGAGCGGAGGACATCACAATCGAAAAACCAAGCTCAGCCGGCGCCAGGATATCGATAGGTGCTGTTTCTCCCAAAATCGAAAAGTTTCACTCCCATTGCCCAGGCAATATCTATCGGTCGACGACCTTTTTTGTTGTGTGTGCTTGGTTCGTGCAAACCCAACTACAAGTGCAACCTACGTACGGAGAAGACAACGTCCCTCAGATAGCGAAATTAAGAAGATCCATGACTTCCCCTTTCCCTCGCGTACCTCATCCTCGCCTTCCACCTCCAGCACCAGGGCCTCCGCGGTGATGTGAAGGAACCGCTTGGCGGTGTCCAGTCCCTCGTCATCCCCCGCCTTCTCCCACAGCCGTAGCCTCGGCGGCTTCGGCAGGAGACCTGTGTACAGATAAATGGTGATACACCAGACCGTGCTGTTACGCAAGCACCACCGATAGATACAACCCACGAGGAGAGCAACCCACAACAGCAGTACTTTCTGAACGTTGACATGTGCTTCATTGTTTGCTGCTGCGGCGAGGTTAATCTCGCTATAGGTTGCACTTCGGGGATAGATGGAGTTTTAGGGCGGGGACTTCAGCAATACGATGGACGCCGTGGAGACGCGATGTGTAGCCTGTACCTCTTCGTGCGGGTGGGACACGCGACAACAGCAAGGGGCGCACAAAACCACCTGCCAGCCACACTCCCTTGGATATGTAGATGCTTGTGTACACTCCTTGCAGAAACGGCTGGGCTTCGCTCTCTTTTGGACGCCGGGTGGCAGTGATGTTCGGTGTTGTTGCTGCCCGTGGCAAAGGCCACTGTAGACGGCTGCCTGGGATATCGGAGTACTCACAGGAGGATGGATCTACACAGCACACGTCGCGTGATGGCGCGTGCAGCGACCCCAAGACCGAAACAACGCAGCAATTCGGAAGCATTTCCTTCAGCAAAGCAGTAAGCCTACCTCGTACACCGTTCCTGGTCTTGGTCCGGAAGCTTATCTTGCCATTGGTCGGCGAGCTCAAGGGGCTTCCTGCCTGGAACACACTGCCGAAACTGCTGCTGCTGCTGCTGCTGCTGCTGCTGCTGCTGCTGCTGCTGCTGCCGAAGAAGGCAGCAAGAGGCGAGGTCGGGTCACTGAATGCGTTCGAAGGTGCACCGTTGGAAGCGCTGGCACGGGCTCCCCTGCAGGCCGCCACAGCTAACAGAAAACCGGCCGCCGGTATCCTCCGCAGCATCATGAGCCCTCACCCAGGCACACCGCTCGGGTCCCGCTTCGTCCGTGCGTCTGTTAGCTCCTGCTCGCGGCTTGCGGCGTCCGTGTTGGTTCGTTCGGTGATGCTCGTAGAACCAAAATATCTCATCCGCGCACCCCCTACTGCAAAATGGGTCGAACAAGAGCAACCACTGCTGTGGTTATGTTTACTTTCTAAAGATCGACCAACCAATCACTAAATGCGAGACGACGCGGAGATTGGTTGAGTATCGCCAAGCTCGCCCTGTCTTGATTAATGAGCACGAGGGCACTGAGGAGATCCATTGGTAGAAAAGACAAGGAGGGAAAGGGTAGCCGGCGGCGAGGTACTAATAGGCCACAACTCCCTGTGCGGAGCAACAGCAGGGGGGGCATTGTGGCGAGCACCGTGTCCAAGCTTTTCCAGCCGTCTGCTTCCGACATGGACGCGGACACCAGCACCCGGAACGCCCTGGCGGGGATCAGGAGGAGAAAGGCGGGGGGGGGCGGCTGGAGGAGGATGCCGAGGGCCGGCGTCGTGGTGTTTTTTTCCGCGCTTTGTGCGGCGCTGCTCTGGGCTGGGGTGGGTTCGTTGGCGCAGCCTCCTGCTGCTGCGGGAGGAGCGAGGGCCAACTCCACAAGAGGTCGAGGAGGCTCGGAGGTGTGTGAGATCCAACCAAGGCCTAAATAGTGTGCTGTCCGCTAAACGTGTACAGCAGTCGCTCAATTGCTGTGTTGCTGTTGGGTACCAACAACGGCAGTCCTGATCTGGCTCGCATGTTCCAAAAAGAAACAAGTTGTCTCTGCCGTTAGGTACCACATGCAACTTCACTTTGCTGTTCTCCCTAAGTAATGTCCTCGCGAAGGAATCGACACGAGACACAAGAAGCCTGTTGAGATAGTGGACCACCACGCAGGATGATTTGAACTTGATTCCATTGGTAAGCGGTGCCGTCTGCACGGACGGGTGGTATGGCGGTGGCACAACGGAACTCTCTATGTCAGACACGTGAGACGGAGCATGCGAGACTAAGCGTGGGCGGCGTCAGGTCTGAAGGCTCAACCCAGTATCGCTCGGCTATCACTACTTTTGTCCCATCATGTGGTATCTCGTGCCACAAATTGGTCAATGGCATCGAAAATTGAAAGTTGAAACGAATGTGGAGTACGAAGTAATTAGTAAAAAGCTGTCCTCGGCTGTGAGGCCTGTTCGAACTGCAACACGAGTGTACCAATAGGTACATATCAAGCCTTGTAATAGTTCATGTACAATTGGTCGTCAAATCTTACCCTCAACATGGACCTGTGATGTCTCGAAGTACAATACTTCAAGTAGTGAACAACGGGAACGCAGCATTTTTCTAGCTGGCAAGAGCAGCACCGGGAGCTAGTACTGTAGGATATTGGCTGGCAGCGGCAAGCGGGAAAACATTTTCCGGCGACACGAGACGTTTCAGTTCGTCTAGCGCACCGTCCCAGGTCTCGTTGTGGTCGAACGGATTCCGATTTCGAATTTTTCCATGCGTCCGTAAGATCACTTCGTAGCATTCACTGACAGACTTTCTCGTTCGAGGTACGGTGGAGGGCTCTCAGCAACGCCGGTATGTGCCCGCCGCATCGACCGGCGCTATATATTGGAACCGACGCTATTCAATGTATATGATCACTTGGTGATTCAGTCTACGCCCGGCAACTTCACCGGCGTTATACAAGGCCACCGGTGCTTGTCACCCGGCGTTCTTGACGCCCCCCCGCTGTAATACCACTGCAGTCGAAGGGAATGTGTTGTACGTCTTAGCAGTGAGTGGGGGAGATATCCTGCTGGATACTGGGCATATTTCTGAGTATGGCTAGGCCTATGCACTGAAGCATCAGTGATGCAACCTGGTGCTAACCAAAAGAACACCTATTCTTTTGGTACACATTTTACGAGCATTCAATGCAGTCCTGTACTGGGTGAAGGATACAAAGTATCGGGAAGAAGGTCTCATTGATGTCGTGAGTGCTATGAATTCGGCCTTTACAGGAAACACGTCGCGGTGTCCTTTGACGACTTGCTGGATTGCTTGCCTCTGTTTTTGCAATCTAACAACTTGTTCTAGCCGGAGCAATGTTTTTTTTTTTTCAAGTTGCGCTGCAGCTTTGTTCGCTCCTTCCCGTGGAGACTCCGCCGCCGAGAGCGAGCGGTGCTCATCGAAGTCGCCGTTTTCTGAGTGGTACACTCAGCTAGCTAGCACGCGCTGCACAAGGGCTTCATTTTCCTTTCGGCTCGATGAGAGCTCAAAGCTTTCTTGATGATGTTGGACGCGACTTTTTAAAGTGTTCGAAGCACGAACAGAGGAAGGTATTGGACAGAGAAATCCGAACGATTTTTAATATGAAGACAACAGCAACAGCAGCAACAACAACAACACCCGCTTCTCGTCCGTGCCTACAGAGTAAGACGAGCACGAGGGCGTCTTCGGCAGGGGCGGCAGCAACGGAAACAGCAGCGGGGCCTTCGGCGAGGAAGGACGGCTCTCAGGAGACCTCCTCCCGGAACCTATCTCGACGTCCAGAGCTGAAGACGAGGGGAGGACAGGTGAGCAAGCAGATCTCCGTAGATCTTGGGAGGCAGCAGTTGTACTTGGGCTCACGGAAGCTCTGTGCGTTGTCGCTGCACGTGCCGCGATTGCTGTTATCTCACCAACTGAAGGACCTGAATGCCCTCTCCTTTTTTTCCCCACCCTTGGTTCGCCGTGCTCGCCATGCCAATTTTTTGTTTCTCTTTCGACTTCAACGCGTGTTGGCCTATTTCTGGATCTCGCAGCTGGCCTTCGCCCGCTTTTCCTTGCTTGCGGAGTACCCTCACGACCAGCACGCATTCACGTGAGTTGCGTAACACGAGGCTGTCTGTTTTTGTTCTAGTTGGTGGGATATCGCACGCGCTGATTGGGTGGTGTACAGCAGCACGGAAGATGATTGGGGGTGTGTGCTTTGAGTTGTCGCCCTTGCTTGCAGCTTCAGGCAACGGGTTTGGTCATTTGTGTGATGGCAAAGAGAAAATGTCAATGGTCTTCGAATGTGCCACCAAAGCGGGCGAAGAAAAGTACGGCGTCATGGCGGCGGGGCGGCCATTCTAGTCTTTTTCACCGCTGTATTATCCCGCGGCGAACGCTACTCTTTCGTTCGGTTGTAGCCCTCTCTCTCGGCACCCCTGCGCACATGTGTCGCCTCGTTTAAAAGCGGCATGTACAGGAATATGATGGTGCGCTATATGACAAGTATGCTGTTGTTTTCTTCACATTAAACTCGTGCCAGTTGCTCATCCCAAAATCTAGCAAAGACTCGGTCCGTGGTCGCAAAAATGCTAGAGCCATCAGAAGATCAAAGAACACGCACATATTAGCAAGAAAAAAAGGGTGCACAAGCCCGAGGAGGTACAGCTACAATCCCTGCAGCACGTTTGCGTGCTCACAACTGAACTACACCCCCACACACTACAATTCGACTGCAGCAGCAGCATCATCACCCCCCTTGTCCCGCATTTGACCTAAATGAATATTTGTCGACTACAGCGTACTGCTGTCTGAAGTGCTGTCTGTACAATAAAAACATCATGGTGCATGGTACACAAGCTCGTGGCATGCAGCTGCTGCCTGAAGTGCGGTCAGAATGAGTCCGTGGACATACAATGAAGAAGAACAACCAACCAAAGCCATAATTGCAATCGACAATCACCCGACTCTATCCAGATCATGTGTGTTAGACAAAGCAGTGTAAACATCGACACTGACTAGGAATCGTGCCACATTGAAGGGGTCTTCCACCATGCAGTTACACAATTAAGGCACTCGGGTTATCCACGCCATCTCTGCCGCGTCTCTCTACCAAACCAGTGACGTCATTACACACACCCAACATCAATAATCAGGAAAAAAAAGGAAAATAACTGACAAGAGATGTTTGTCCGTGCGCCACGGTTCGATGCCGTCCGCTGCTCCGGTGCCGCTGCTCCGGTGCCGCTTCTCCGGTGCCGCTGTGGCCAGTCCTAGCACGACCAACTCGACCCGCTCCGCTCCGTACACGCTCTCGTTGCTGTCCTGCCCAGTCGGTTGCGGTCTGAAAATTCTCGCGTCGAAGGGTCAACCAGCCCAATCAGCTTGTCACCACCTGTCCCCTCCTCCTTTGATGTAAAAACCAGGTTACTCAGACAGAACAACTCCCTCTAGCAAACCCAGGGCCGTGTACATAGTGCCCGTCCAAATTTCTGATGGCGTCTGCCTGCGCGCACAAAGATGAGATAGGCATTGCTGCCTACACCAACCGACGGCCATGGAGGCCGGCGCATCTGCGCGTTTGTACCTGATGCACCAGTGCCGACCCAACTCCACCACCACGCACGCCTCGCGGCGGGTGCGCCGAAGCAAGAAGGTATCGGCCCCTTGAGGGTGAGTCTTGCCCTGCTCGCTAGAAAGACCCCCCCCCTCGCTATGGGTCATGCCTAAGCAAAACCTTGCTGAGGCAGCGAGGGAAAGAAGGGAGTAGTATGCCGGGAACAAATCCGCCGCGCATCGAAGGTGCTGTTGTCGACCCGTTAATATTGCCGTGGGGTCCTACTGACTGCATGGCGACCTATTTCTTGTATCGGGCAAAGAGGTTGGCATAGGAAGGGAATCACAGCAGTACAAGACTAAGTTGCTCGACACATACCTACAATCGCCGTTGTTGTGTCGCTTGGTTTCCTCTGGAACATGTTTGTGATGATCCAACTCCTATTTTGTATCCCAACCGGGTTTGCTTCGCAAGAGACACGATAGCCATGTACGTTACTACTACAAGTCGCGACGTATGTATTCGTGAGACACTGCGCAGTCGTTGCACCAACAGCAAACATGGATATGTATGTATGTATGTATGTATGTATGTAAGTATGTATGTATGTATGTATGTAT